GGACGTTTTCCACAGAACCCGTCATAGGTAGGGACGTTTTGCGCCAATTACCCATAAATGTAATATGAAGAAAGCACATATCTATGTTGGGGGGTAGGGGGGAGAGAGATAATATTTTTTCCAAATTGAGGAGGCTTGTGACATTGTGATAAGTGTATTTTGTACACTTATCTAAACCATTAAATTAGAATTTTTGTTAGTGGTTTGGATGCGTTATAGCTTAATTAAGTATTAATTATATTTTTTAGGTTGAACTCAATACAAATTGTTGGAATTGGAAGAAAAGAACAAAAAAGTAGCAAAATGAAATAAATCAAAAATTTGGGGACCAAAGTGTAATAGTTGATTCGGACCACAAAACGATAATTGAATATCATATACGATCAATTAAATACAACTGGAGGTCAACGAAGTAAAATATAATTGAAATATTTTCACAAATCAATTTTCAACCGAATAAGTTTTGCTCCAGATTTTTAACTTCAAATTAAGACCCATTTTTTGGATAGCAAACATTCGAATTGGAAATATTGTATTTCTAGATGAACTGTATCTCTTTGAGTTATCTATCTAAAACACTTTGAATCACCTCAATTGAATATCGGGAGAGAAAGTTATGACCAAAATATCGAATGCTGCTTAGGGACGATAGCGCGCAAAACGACGCATGCGGGCAAATTTTGGCACGCGCGCAAGACACCAAAATTTTGACTTGAGAGCCATTGGATCAATGGCGCATGGTGGTTATGTATGTGGAAGCATGGGTCATATCTGCAGATGAATCAGAAATTTCCTCTCGCGATTCAAACTCCTTTGAAACCTAAATTGAACGCGATTTTGACGTATTTTCTGGATCTTATAAATACAAAACAAGGGCTACACATTAAAAAAAAAACCCTCTCTTGCCTCTTCATACACAATAATTCCATCAAGAACAAGAGGTCAATTTCTATATTTTGATAGATGAGATCAATCCCTAGCAAGGAATTGAAGGGTAATTACCTCAAGATTTTGAATAATTCAACCTTGGACTAGAAGATCAACATCTATTGAATTATTTCATATCCAAATGATATTTTTCTATTATTCTTTTTGTAATTTATATATTAATATGTTATGCTAAATTTGTTTTTGTTTTGAATGAAGATAAATCCTATTTTTTATTTATTTCTAATTCAAGACTAGTAGTTTAGGCCCTGTCTGGACGCTCTGAAATGAGGGGTAAAATCAATTTTTAAAACATTTGATGCAGGGGGATCCGAGCCAAACGAGGCCGAGCTGTCTGATAGTTCGTTAATGGCGCTGAGATACCATGAGTTGGCGGATCAGTGCAAGAATGATAAGTAATCATCGATATTTCCTACTTGGAGCCGCTTTTGGACACGTTTCGATATTTTGGCCATAACTTTGGCTACGGTTGTCAGAATAATCACTATTCTGCCCGACGTCAACATTATAGCCTACCATTGTTGATCAACTCTCTCACGAGTGGGACCCTCCAATGGCACTATTGTTGATTTTAATCCAAAAGGCAGTGGAACCAGACAGGCTCTTAGTATTTTTTGGGTTTCTTAATTAATTTTACATACCCATTGCATTATTTAATTGATCGGATACCAATTAGAATATTAGTTGATTGTTGTAGTGTTGGGAGACTCACAATGAATTTAGAACGCATCAAAATTAACATATGTGTAATAGATGTTAAGAATCACATTTATGTGCAATCATATAGATAATCTAAAATTTAATGTACCCTAATAATTCGAACTCGGGTTAGGAATAGATTCAGGTCATGATAATGATAGATTTAATTTGTCTTGAAAAATAAAATTATGTATCATAACTTTATATATTGATTGTCAGAAATGCATGAACGAAACTAGATTACAAATCAAGAATTGAAATAGATGATGCAATAGGAGGATTCGAAATCCATTACAATCATCTATAATTTCATAAAAAATCCTAATTTTATCGCTTTCTTAGATTAATTTAGAATAATTAAAAAATCAAAATCTCTTTTGTTTACATAATTCGAATTTCATACGAAACTAATAAACTTAAATTAAATTTATTCCCTGTGGAACGATACTCTCAATTTATCAATTCTATTACTTGTCAACAATCTCGTACGCTTGCGAGTTTTACACAAACTCATTGGAACAGAAATACAATGTCTTCTATTTTTCAGAAGGAAGTTATGCCAATATGGCAATATTTTTCATGTTATCTCTCTCGGGAACATGACATCTTTCCTCTTAATAGAAAATATAGTTAGAAGTTGTTATGTGAAAATCTATAAGCCTCTGTATTACAGCTTCAAAATATTAGTACGCGAAAAAGTAAATTTTATAATCATAATGAAGCGAGTGGAAAAGTAATAACTGTGAGAGAATGTTTGGCTAAATTATAATATTGTGTGAATCACAAATAGCTGTTGAGTACAGTTATATCATAGAAAAGTAACTCAGCATAAGGCTTTGTTTAATTAACAAAAACAAAACAAAAAAGAAAACTAAATTGACTCCTATATTACAACTAATAGTTCGTTAAAACTTTTACACTGCACTCTATTAAAGGAAATATGAAGACAGAAATGGCGACTCAAAGTGAGGGTGTCAAATATAATCGCCACCATAATCAGTAGAGGCGGTTAGTGACGATATGATAATGATTCCATCGACTTGCACTGTATGTTATAGAGAGAAAATTTCACCAATCCTAAAAAGCACAAGCAGTGGATTCCATGGGCTAAAGACTGACGAGTAGAATTTTTAGCTGTGTGTCTCAGGTCTTGATTGTGCATCTATGATCATTGGATAGTTATTGCAAAGAGAATCTAAAATCACCCCATGCACTAGGCCCCACTCTTCCTTAGATATGGTGCAAGAGCATCTATAGCCTTGATCAGACTTGGAGAGCATCCAAAATTTCAAGCTGAGTCCAGCTAAAATTCCACACCATAATAAGCCAATATGCAGAAGATTGTGCTATTATTGTAGTAATTGGCTTTTCAATCAGCTGTAGATGGTTCTCCCATCCAATGTCATTTGGGTCATATACAACAACAAATGATGGGGAAGCTACCCAATGAAAATCACCATTAAGCACAAATGGAGCAATAAGTGGCCATGGGCACACATAAAACCTATAAGTGGCAACCAGTACTAATTCGACGCACTTCTCCGTGGTCGAGGAATATGTTTCAATGGTTATTTTGTGTCAAATTGTGTGGTAGGCATGCCAGTCATCACAACTTTGTAATTTGTCACCAATTGGGCTGTATTTTATTCGAATGCCAATCCCATGGATACATACTATTATAAACGACGACGAAAATACCGGATAATTTCAATAACAATCCGTTGTGAAAATAAGCCAAAAAACAATATGACACAATATGAAGTAATTGATGACAAACTCAAGAATAAAATAATTGGCAGGGGAATGGAGATTTCACTAAAATATGGAGAAAGAATTCAATGATTTTGTGTTTATGATTTGTTTAACTTAATCTATAATACAATGAACAGCTAAATAATATAGAAGATGTTTCAAGCCCTAAAAGTAGAGTTGTAAACGGAAAGAAATGATCAAAATGTGTAAAATATGAAAACGGGCCAAGCTGGATGGATACAATGCTCAATCGTCCGACAGGCGCCATCTTCACTATTTTGGGTGCTCGAGCTCTAGTCGAGCGCCGGTGACATAATTGCGTCAAAAAGTTCTCCCTAGTCCATATATCTTGATCTTTTCAAATCCAACACAAATTCCAACTTCCAATAGGACTTTCAAATAGAAGTTCAACTAAAATTTGTCAAATAAATTTCGAATGGGATTTTAAAAGCATTCCAACAAATAGAATTCATCTTAATTGAGAGTTCAAGAATAACTAACTAAGAGGGGGTAAATTGATTTTTTAAAACTTTTTTGAAAAATTAATCTAAATTCAAGTAAGTAAAGACTAAACAGATTAATTAAAATAATAAGCGCAAGTATGAATAGATAATGCAAACAATATAATTGTGGATGTTCGATCCAAATCAATGATCTACCTCCTCTGTTACCAAGCTCTCCGACTCGAGCAATGTCTTTTCACTATATTGATTGACTTATAGTGCAATCCAACCATTTACAATGATTCCAATAACTTACAAGCAATGTGCACCGATCCTTACACAATATTGAACTTTACGGGTCCTCAGTATGACCCACAAGTATAACAAAATAATTTTACAATGAACTCTTCTCTTGATGAATGATACAAATGAATTAAGTATTAAGAGAGACTAGCATTTCAATGAATAACAACAAATGATAGCTCATTTGTTAGATGAAAACTTTGATGAATATGATAATTAAAAATTACATTTAATAAATCAAAGTTTTTCAATGAGAAAATGAATAAGAAATAAATGTAAAGTAAGTTCAAAAATCTTCTCAAGATAAAACTCTTTTTTAATGAATGATTGTAATAAATTAAGTACTAAAGGAGAAATAAGAAACTTTGATGAATATAATGATTTTACAAGTTTGATTCAATCAATCAAAGTTTTCAATATAAAAAGTAGAAAAAAATACATGCAATGTAAGTTCAAAGATCTTCTTTGAAATATATCTTTTTTATATGAATAACAAAAAGAGAGATGAAAAACTTTGATGAG